ATCCACAGGAGAAGGACAATATATGGAAACATACGTAAAAATACACCAGTGCGACCCTACCTAGGAGTTGGAGCCCCTAGGAAAGCAGCATGAGCTAGCGTAAGCCAAGCTAAGCTAAGCTAAGGTAAGCTAAGGTAAGCTAATATGAGATAAGGTAAGGTAAGCTAAGCTAAGCTAAGGTAAGCTGATACAAGCGAAGCTAAGGTAAGGTAAGTTAAGCTAAGCTAAACTAAGATGATATAAGCTGAGATAATATAAGGTAAGTTAAGCTAAGCTAAGATGAGATAAGCTAAGCTAAGGCAGACTAAGCTAAACTAAGATAAGCTAAGCTCACCCAGGGGGCGCAACTGGGGGAACCGCGGGGCGGATACTGGGGGAACCGCCCGGGCTGGTTCCCACTGCCCCGCCCTTTAAGCCAAGAGAGTAATAACCCTTCTGGGCAGAGCCTAGGTAGGAGAAAAAACATATTTTTAATTGTCTTCAGGAGCGCATCGAGGGGAGCCCATGGTGGGGCCCCGCAGGGGATAAAAATCACTCGCCATATCTACCAAGGTTCTCTCGGTGATCCTGCCATCGGAGAGATCTGCCACTAAGGCGATATCGATGCGAGGCTCAGTTAGGGCGTCCACAATCATGGTTTTGCCGGAGTTAAAGACGCCCTCAAGATCTTCCAATGCCACGTCTTTGTCACAGCGAATGTCTTCTAAAGATGACTTGGATGACGCAGAGCGTAGAACTTCGCCTCGGTAGACAACTCGGACACGCCTCATATCCTGTTCACGCGAACGTCGCTTCCCTGCGCGGGAAGGTGGGCTGTGCAGCACCTCCGAGACACCCTCGCTGGCGCTGCATGGCGCTGCTCGGAGTGTGGGCTGTGCAGCACCACCGCCCCTGCGGCGCCTGGCCTCAACTCGGCGAGGCTCATCAGGATGATCGTCGTCGTCGCCGCGACGATGGCGCAGACGGCCGCGACTGCGGCTAGGCTCACGGCGACCACCGCTTTCACACAGATCGATCACGTCCGCCGCCGTCAGGGGCCTGCCTCCGCGCGACGCGGGGCGGGACATCACCGGCGGCCCGAGCTTCACCAACTCATCCCAGCTGTCCAGCGGCTCCAGCTGGAAGTATTCGGCAACCTGGAACCACGAGTAGCACCTCTTCAGCCAGCCGTCGTCTTCATCAAACCACCGCCTGCTGTCCACAGGGCGGATGCGCGTGCACTGGATGACGCGGCCCTTGCTCCGCCTGATCGACAGGCCCGAGTTGCCAACTCCGTCGTTCAAGACACTCCACAAGCACTCGAGATCATTGTCGATCATGTGGGTCAGCTGCAAGTGCCGAGAAGCAACACCCTTACCATCCTCCCCGCTCTTGTGAGACGTCAAATGGATGTTCGCGTCAGGCATCCCCATCTCGAGCAAGCCTGTGCTCTGGATCAGCCTGGCGACCCACGCCTCTACCCTGCCCGTGCGGGCATGGTGCGAGTACCACGTGCCCCGCGTCGTACGACCGATGAAGTGCATGTCTTGCAGGCCGTACTCAACCGCAAAGAGCACGACGAACGCTCAGAAGCCATCCTCGACAGCCGCGTACATCTTGCTGCCTTCAACCCGCTGGTCTTCGTTCCGCTTGGACGCGACGTCGCCCGCATCGATGGCCACGACAGGCAGGGTGGGCCGTGCAGCACCACCTGGTGCCGAGGTGGGCTGTGCAGCACCACTGAACGCCTCACTCCGCCAACCTCGGGACATGAGCGTGGGCGGCCGTGTGGCAGGGCCTCCGGACTTGAGCCGAAATGGTTACGGAAGGCACTGCTTGCGGGGGCTCCGGTCCGGCCATCGAGGCTAGCTCGGCATCTGTCGCACATTGCTTTTGCTTCGCCTTTTCCTGTGTTTTGCTTTTGCTGTTGCTTTGCTTCGCGTTGCTTGTGCTTTGCTTTGCTGTCGCTGCTGCTGCTTCGCCTTTACTCTGCTGCTGTGTTATGCCATGCTATGCTATGCTGCGCTGTGCTGCGTCGTGCTGCGCTAGCTATGATATGATATGCTATGATATGCTGCGCTATGCTATGTTATGCTATGCTTGGCTATGATGTGATATGCTGTGTCGCGCTATGCTGTGTTGTGCTGTGCTCTGCTATGCTAAAGTTCGGCGAAGCTAAGATGAAGGTAAGCTCAGCTAAGATAGACCTGATTTAAGATGAAGCTAAGCTAAGCTAAGGTGGAATAAGCTAAGTTAAGATGAAATAAGCGACGCTAAGCTAAGGGGACGCAGCCGGGGGAACCGCGGGGCGGATACAGGGGGAACCGCCTGGGGCGGGTAGCACTGCCCGGCCCTTTAAGCCAAGAGAGTAAGAACCCTTTCCAGGCAGAACCTAGGTAGAGAACACACAGCGGATTTGTGCCCCACAGGACGCCCAATACTTAGGAACATGTAAAACACATAAGGTTGGAGCCACAGGAGAAGGACAATATATTGGAACATACGTAAATCACGAAGGAGT